CATCTTATTTTGTTTATTATTTTTATTTTATTTTATTTTTTGGTCTTTTTGAGACAGGGTCTCCCTGTAACCCCAGCTGTCCTGGAACTCACTATGTAGACCAGGTTGGCCTTGAACTCACAGAGATCCACCTGCTTCTGTCTCCTGAGTGCTGGGATTAAAGGCGTGTGCCACCATGCCCTGGCGAAAAATTCATTTTTAATGCAATTGACATTAAGATGTTTGAACCTGTGTTTCTAATCTCTATATATCTGATTACTACTAGTCACAGTCAGTTACTTTCTGAGCTCCTTGGCATCTGAGCATGGATATAAAGTCATCAGGTAGATTTCAATGGTAATGTTTTTCACATCTAATTATTAAGGAGCAAATTTTTATGCTTTGAAGAATTATTTTTTTATCGTTTAAAAAAATTTTTAATAACTACATGATGAGCAGAAGCATTTCACCACAGCTTTAACATATTCAGTAACACACTCCAGAGCAAGAGTACATCTTTCACAAGTGGCTGCAAGTTTCTAGGTTCACAGTTGAATTAATACAGTTATACAATATTGAATTCAGTATAAGCCCTGTAAGACAAAATTGAATGAGTTTTTAACCTTTAAAAAAGATCTCCATTTCATTTTAGAATGTATTTTTCCTTGCAGAAAGACTGTTTTTGCTACTAATGCTGAGATGTTGGTGTATGCATCTCTAATCTGTATGTATCTGATTATTACTAGTCATAATCGGTTGCACTTGGATCCTTGGCGCCTGTGCATGTCTATAAAGTCATTGGGTAGATTTCAGTGGTAATGTTTATCACCTCTACTAAATAACATGACGTAAATTTCCATGCTTCCTCCTTAAATATAATACATTTTTAAAAAATTTGTTGATTTTTTGTGTGTGTGTGTTTGTGTGTATCACACAGAACATCCCAAACCATCTTATTCAACTATACACCCACTTCCCAGATGGCACCCTCCCATAGCCTCCCTCCCCCCACTAGAGCCCTTATACTCTGATATCCCTGCTACTGTCTGCTGTGTTGTCCGCACCCCCAGCCATTTCCCACTACTTGCCCTTCTGGTGAATCTAGTCAGCCTATCTAGAGGTCTTTGTTTTAGGAGGGTCAGCTGTTCCTCATCTAGCAGCAATCCGTTGTCAGTATTCTTTTAGGTAAGATTGGGGTCTGCTGTTCATTTTCCCAGTTCTGTGCTGGGTTACTATCTGGGAGTCCCTTTGGCCACCCTGGCCAATTCAAAAGAAGGTATCGCCTATCTGGCATTGTTGCTTGTTATGTAGCCTTTAGCTATGGCACCTTAAGTGGGAAAACCGTGATGGAGGGATGAGACAATTCTAAAGATAAACAATGCCTAGCTAGTTTTAAAAACCAGAGGGAACCATATTAGTTCAACAACCTCCTGACAAATTATACATAGCAGATCAAGAAATATATATCTAGGCAAGGTTTATTTGAGAACCATTCATCTTTGCCCAAGATTTATGTACATGGCACATAGTAATTAAAAGTACCAGACTGGTGGAACTAACCTTGGGTGTTTAACAGACATATTTTGAGGCCTATACTAATTTGGCCAGAGGGACATAAAGGACAGTTTTTGCTCCTTGCCCTAGGTCGACTAGGAGTGTCCAGTCTACAAAGAGGAGGCTCAACAGAGGATTCATTTCCTCCATGCTTCCAAGCGAAGCCAACCATGGTCAAGCAGGACCTTTGACTTATCTTCACATAGGCGGAACTGGTAAAACAAAGGAGCCAGGGGCTTCTCCCAAGCCCATGTGACCCCTGAGGAGCAGATCCTCAAATGACCTTAAGAGTGAAAATAAATTGGTTTATCTGGGCCAACTCTATGGCCTTAAACACCCAAAAGGAAAGTATAACCAAAGATTAAAGGGGCCAATATAATTTCTTATTTTTCATTTTTGAAACAGGGACTCGTGATGTACCCCAGGCTGGCCTCAAATTCACTATGTTGCCTGTGCTAGTCTTGAACTCATGATCTTTCTTCCTCACCCTCCCAGGTGTGGAATTGCAGTTGTGAACCACCTTGCTGGGTTCACTAGTTTATGTTTTAGACATTTTGTTGGTGCGATCTCATTTAATCATCATGGCACTGTTTAACTTCCACCTGTTAATGAGGAAGTAAAGCAGAGTGCTAGGACGCAGCTAGGCTGAAGTCTGCCATTCAGTAAGCAGGGGGTCAAATCTATCAGCCCCAGAGCCGAGAGCCCTTGCTTAGAGGTTGAGGATAGGGAGGCAGTACTTCTACCCAAACAGCCTTCTTTTTTTTTAAAGAATATTTTTATTATTCCAAAGAGAAGCAATTTTTAACACATTTTTCCAGAAATAACTTGAAGCAGGTTACATAAACAAATATATACAATGAAGTTTAAGGGTAGAAAAGTAGGGATAAGAAATCAAGGACTAAAGCCAGGCATGGTCACACACATTCTCAATCCTAGCACTTGGGAGGCAGAGTCCAGTAGATCTGTGTGAGCTTGAGGTCAGCCCGGTCCACCCAGCAAGCTCCAGGCCAGGTGGGGTCATAGGTAGACCTTGTTCCAAAAAGACCAAAAACCACCCCCCAAAGACCAAAGGAGTTGCCAACATTGGGTCAACTTTGGTGGAATAATGAAGGTTTCCATTAGCTCTGTTCTTTTTTCTTTTTTTAAATCCTAACTAGTTTATTGGGTTTGCTAACAGAGCATAGGGTGGGGGTGGTTTATTTACAGAAGAGTGGTGCCCCCCATTTACGGCTGCACTGCAAAGTCCACACTCAAATATAGTAGATCCTGTGACTTCCCAACAGCCACACAAAATGGTGAGAGAGGTGCCTCCTGGCATTCTCAGCTTACATATCCTTAGCTCCTCCCCCCCAAACAGCCTTCTTAAAAACATGTTTGTGTTCCGTCGTCGACTAAAGTAAGTGTAATTCCTTACCAAGATGTGATGAGGATCACTTATTATGTTATTCTGAATTGTATTTTCAGCTTTGTCCTGTTATAATTCTTCAATATATTGTATACTGTCATCAATCTAGGCCCCTCACAAGCATTTATGCACCTGGTTTTACTTATACTGTCCCTTAATCTGAAGTGTATGGCTCTCTCCTCAGACCATTCCATCATCGCTTCCTTAACCCAAAGGAATTGGCATCTGGGCCTGGCCCAAACTGTTGCATCCTGCTGCCCCCTCTAGTCAGATCAGAGCTCCTCCTTCCCCTAAGTTGATATTTTTGGTGCTCTGCCTTAAATTACAGATTTCTAAAAATCTGCTTGGCCTGCTAGATTGTAAGTCTTTGGAGCTGTTTTTGTTATCCTAGTTTGCATTTCTAGTTACTAGTTTAGAGACGGGAACTTAGTTCCTTGTAGGCAGTTCTTAATATATGTTAATTATTATGACTGTGAAGAGGTCACTTCCTGGCACAGTGCTTTGTTACTCTTTTTTTTTTCTTCAGTGTGAGGAATTAAAGTAAGGCCCTTGCACATGGTAGACAAGTTCTGTGCCCACTGAGCTATACCTCATACAAAATTATGTTTTTTTGCATAATTTCTTCTCATTTAATATCATCCCTGATTGTAGAGCTAGAAAATTTTTACTATAACACCATGTTAATAAAAATGAGCTGGCCAGGCCTGGTGGTGGACTCCTTTGATCCTAGCACTCAAGAGGTGGATGGGAGGCAGTTCTCTGTGAGTTTGAGGCCAGCCTTGTGTACATAGCAAGTTCTAGGCCACCTGGAGCTACATACTGAGACTCTGTCTCAAAAAAATAGAACAGAAAATAATGAAATGTTTATTGGCATATGTCTATATTAATGTAAACAAGTACCTGATTTTATTAGCTAAGAATTCTATAAAGCAAAATTGTCAAGTTTTGTAGGTTACCAATAGCTTTTCTTCTGTGTGTACCATAGCTTTAGCCTAAGAAACAATAATGGGTATTATTTTCTTCTTTTTAGTAGAATAGGAATACTTTGCTTGAAAATTACAGATGATTCTCAACTTAGGATGTGTTTATGTCCCGATAAACCCATTGTAAATTGAAAATACTCTAATTTAGAAATGCACTTAATCCACA